TCCTCTTCCTCTTCACCTTCACTCATCTCTTCATCAGCATTGTAATCTTCATCTACTGACTCTGAATCAGAAGAAAACGTAATCTGCCCATCAGAAGTTCTGAAATATCCAAATGACATGTTCGTTGCAAAATAATGAATAATAGTGGAAATGATATATCCCTTCTCTCATTTCTTTGAAATTCGGTAGAAAAAGAAATTATGTCACAGATATGAATTTTTTCAAATGAAGGTATTACTAAAAAAGATCTGGAAATGAGAGTTACTCACGCAGAAGCATGAGGATTTTCGCCGGATGGCATGCAGTCATCTCCATCACCTGAATCGACCGAAAGTATAGTAGTACTAACTTCAGCAGGACCAGCAACTTCTGGTTCACTATTAGTTGCTTCATTTTCTCCAGCAGTTTCAAATCTAAAATGAAATAAATATTAGGAATCTATTATGAGAATTATGAATTATCCATCAAAACAATTAGTTCATTTTTGTTTATACGAACTAGTAAAATTCAATGATCCTGTGATGTTGTCGTAAAGCAACAGCTCGAGTTTAACATTAAACCTTTCATTTTGAATCGCCGCCTCCGATTTATTGATTGCCGACCTATTTAAAAGCGTATCCTTGTTCTGACTTTCCGATGCACCTTCTTCAACATCTGTAATTATATTAAAATAGCTATCTATCCAATTTTAAAATGCCATAAAATAGATATCATAACTCTCATCAAATTATTAAACGATGATAAATGGTTGATGAAAAACCCGAAAAAATTGTGTGAAAAGAAAATTCAGTTCTTTTTTAAAATCAAACTAATTCCGCTCTGAAATCAAATTTTCAAGTTTACAGAAATTAAATTGAATTTTAAAATTAATAGCACAAACCATTTGAGGATCTGGTGCGCTTCGCTTTTAAAATACTGGGTGACAATTCACCCACTCTTTTTTTGGCTTTTTCTCCCACTGCCTTTTCTTCCGCTTTTTTGAGCTGATTTTTATCGGCTTTAATTTCTTTATCAATCATAGTATCACCATTTTGATCTTTTCCATCTATTCCTTGTTCCAATACATTTAATCCGTTTTCTTGAATTTTCTTCTCAGATTCTTCCATTTTCTGAGTATAGAATAAATAAAGATTTTCAATTTTACAAAGATTTTGTCATTAATTCATGTTCAGAATATAACAGCACTTAAACTTATTGATAATCATTGATTAATAAATTTAAACTAATCAGCAGTTAGGATGTAAATTACCAGTCCCCAAAATATTACAAACCAAACGAAAGCGTAGGTAGTGGAAGGTACCTGCATCGGCTCCTCTCCTCCACTTTGCTGTTCCAGTTGCGTACGCAACTCATTGAAATTAATGACTGACTGCTTGCCATTTTGCTCTCGATGCAAAACGATTCCATATCTTTCTAATATAGTTTCAATCGGCATTCCAGCTTCTTCATATAATACTTGCTGAATAGGGAAGACAGTGAAAAATGTCATAAATCACGATTTTCATTGTTTGAACAACTCCGAATTAGTTTGTGACCGGATAAAAATCAAATAACAACCTTATCTTCGTCATCATCGCTTAATTCTTCATGTTTCGATTCCACGCTACCTGCTATTTTCTTTAATTCTTTCATAACTGTCTCGGTCCTATAAAATACAGAATTTTAACTACAAAAATGTAGAGGTTAGAAATTCGTTGCAAATAAAATCTTGAAAGTACATGTCAAAAGGATGATTTGATAAAATGATTACTGTTTATAACCTTAGTAATTCATCCAATTCCAAGAAAGTATCCTGTATAGCTTTCGTGTAATTACCCGAATACCACGAATTATTTCTTTTCAACATATCTGGTAAATGATGTGCACTATATTGTGCCACTTCACTTCCTGCAGTATATATCTATTTAGTAGAATTCAATATTATTTCATTTATAAAACAAAAAAAAAACTCTTTGTCTTGAGAACTTGAAGCGCTTCAGAAATGAATTAATTACATGTATTCATTAGAAATTTACCTCCATGACCATCATAAACAGCGAAAAAGGAAGAATCCTGGTCATAATTTACAATACAATTATGTGCATCCTGAAACGAAATATTTCAAGGATATTAAATATTGCAAAATCATCTAAATCATGACAAATTCCAAAACTACAAATCAAATTTATTTCATTCCCCATCTCGATATCAAAAAACGCACCTCCATTTAGTACCAGAATGAACATCATCTGACATCTCATCACAAAGTTGCTACACGTTTCTACACAAAAAATATTAATTTTTTGAAAAATTCATGCTAAAAATAGGTAGCTGAATTTTAGCTGATTAATTTCAAAACCCCAAACAACCTCTTGATTGATACGCCATCCTTGCATACTTGTTGCAGCATAACAGATTCGCTCATTGCCACCACATTCGGATACTTTTTCGGTTATTGGTTTACTTAGATAGGCACCCATGTGTACTGATTGGTTTCAACTATATGTTTATAACTGCAAAAATGATGAAACTGATATCACAACATATCACAAGAAAAACACATTTACGCTTCTCGTGCATACAAAAAAATATATATGCGCACGAAAATAGTGTAAATTTTATACTAAAGGATACAAAAGCTCATAAACTATATGCAAGCAAATGATAACCACTCTAGTCGTTTCGATGAAATCATTTAATCTAAAAAAAAAAATTAAAAAGGAAACGCGTAACACTCAAAATGTGCATAATATTCGCAAAGAAGAAAATGTATATAACAAACAGAATCTTGTAGGTGGTAACAAGAATACGAACCGAAATTTATTGAATCACTCTAAAGTAAATGCGTTAAAATATGATTACGAAATATTTTTTTAAAAAACAGATGTTATATATACATTATATACATTAATAATATTTAAAAAACAGATGTTATTGAATAGGTATCATGGAAAATTCAATCAAGAATAATATTATTAACTGATTGGGTAATCATAATTTGATATGTCTAATTATCCAGACAATAAAGTAACTGATATTTGATACGTTTAACACATTTAATTATCAGAATAATCAATACATAATATCTGATCAGTGAGATAGCTAATATCAAATATTCAACTACAGAAAAAAATCAACGTTCAATAATCAATGAATGAAAATTTCTATCCACTTATTCTAATTTATTTTATTTGATTATAAAAATAATCAAAATCAGAATCACTCACTGAAACAACTGGCTTCTAATATTTAATAATAAACAACCTAATATCTCAGATTTATACGAATATCGGATTGCTATATAAGTTCAAATAGTTTTAAATGGTTAGTGATGTTTAAGAGTATACGCTATTTCACTGCTGAAAACAGCAATCTACCGTGCTTATATTAATGCTTCGTCTATTAATTACAATCATTGAACATAGATTTCAAATCCTCATGTTAATTGATAAAAAATATCATGAAGGCATTGCTACTGTCATGTATGTGTCAAAGTGAAAATTATTTTTGTAGGAAATGAAAGTGTAAAAAGATCAAAATCAATTTTAAGTTTTTTCACCAAAATGTCAAACACAATGACGCCAACACGAAAAAACTAATTTACGACGGACAACTAATTGAATGAATGAAAAATGAAAACAATGGAAAATGGATAGCTGGGACTTCCTATTGCGAATAATTTCAAGGTAATCTCAATCTTTAAAGCTGAAACGATAATTTCCTGTATTGACTACCAGCAGTCCTTGACATACCGAACACGTAAGTGAATTGAGTAACGTGGCCCACCATCGAGAGTATCACGCAAATGTAAAAAACAGTTTCTTTAGCCTCCACCCAATCGCCTGGCGTTTAAAAACCGCCGTTTATTCAATGACCTGTATTAGACGGCTAATACGTGACATTTCACGGCTTGCCGAGAGTCTGCCTTTTCATAATGGATGAAAAGTAACCGATGGCGCAGTTTGTTGGATCATTGTGGGGTCATTGTGTTTAGGTGCATCCCTTCCGCTACATAAGCATGTGGTTATGTTTGTTTTATCTTCGAATGAGTATTTGTTTGTGAGATGAATATTTCTCAATTAAATTCATCAGTTTAGCTGATAATTATTCTCAAAGGCAGACATCCAATGAAATTTTTGAACAAAATTTTAATTTACAAATTTTGATTGTTGTTGATAAACGAAACGGTGATGTATCAATGTGCAGTTTATTGTAATGTATATCAGTCCATAATTGGGTTGAATTTTTTTACATTGAATATTTGTTGCGCAATATTACTATCATTGTATTAAATTTCTTGTAAGCAAATGTCATAATTCAGGCGGTATTATCTTTGTTGATTAAGGAAAGAAAATCTTAAAATTTTGATGATTTGAAATTTAAAACGAGAAGAAGAAAGGAAAACTTTGCCATCCTAACATATTTCCGTTAGTATTCATAAAGGAAAAGGAGAATTCTTTACGGAATATAAATATTTGTTGTATTATAAAGAAATTAAAAATGTATTTTATTGAAATTTTTTGCTTTAAATATGCAGATGAATTTGCTTACATATTGGTAAGTTAAGCTCATTAATGAATTAGCACAATCTTTATGAAGTGAATTGCTTGTTTAACTAGCACGACTGCTTTAACTCTCGCTATCTGATCAAGAAATTACGAAAAAAAGAAAATGCCAGTAAATGTTGGCGATACGAAAGTTAGTGGATCGATCGATCATGTTTAGAGCTTTGTCTTAGTTTGTGGTCTTCTCTACTAATTACTGATGTTTGTAAAATCTTTACTCATTTTGACGTCTAACACATATCAATCATTAGTGGATTAGTACATTTCTGCTAGCTCCCGCCCATTACACGTCGCCTAGTATTTTCCGATGGTTCCTGTTTATTATGGGTCGCTAGAACTTTTCTATTGATTTTGACCTGTTAGAAGCTGTTTTGTGTCCTGTCCATTGTTGTATCCACGTATTTATTGATTTTAGCTTTGAGTAATCCGGCAGGCGTTTATACTGTTCCAGATTTTTAAACGAATGGTAGTCCTTTATATGAATACCATCAATTTCTTTTTTAATTTTGAATTTTATCCATGTAACATATTTGGTATTCCATTACTTAGTTATTGAAAAAACGAAACTCTATATAAGCCGTGTCAAGAAATATTTTCATTCCTGTTTCTTAATGTGAGAAGCAATTTTATTTACAGTTGCATAACTTTTCTCAGAATTTTACATCTGTTAAAAATCTCAATTTTTGTTGGAAACCGTGTACATCTAATTAAAGGGAAAAAATTTACAGGTTAAAGCTATTCTATGGATTACTTTTTTTGCACATATATGCATTTATTAAATTAAATGAATGTTTAATGTCGTAAATGAGTGTCAATCATACGTGACTGTACATGCTTTTGCAGTAGAAGTTTTGATTTGAGTGCTTAAAATTTGATGAAAATATGTTTACTTAGGTTGGTGACGAAGGATAGATTATCGTAGATGCCATCATTGGTTGTGTTGGGACGACGGTGGAATATTGCGAGTGATGATTTCGTATTTCCATCATTATCCGAAATATTAGTTCGCTTAGCTTGGTGAGTTTTTTTTTTTTCTATTTTCTGAAATATTTAACATTTTGTGGTACCATATACCGCCTTTAACTTTCATCGTCCGATGTCTTATACGAGGGTGTACAGTATTCTCATTGCTTAATTTTTGTTCGAAGACAAAATGCAAGAGTTTACGAGACATTTTCTGTTTTTCTGAATGATAAGTGGAGTAGATAAATAAGGATAATAAATGACAAAGCAGAACAGTAATAATTAGTAATGATTAGTAATAATGATTAATAAACAGCGATTTAGCAGTTATGGAATCTGTCCATTAATAAGAATTATTACTGCGGTTTGTTTTGATATTATCGTGGAACAATAATTGCTATTGTATGTTAATGTTGATCATAATTATATGAAGTAGAATAATTTTAGGATATCAACGACATGCGTTATATTTATGCTAAAAAAGTGGGAAAGTTGCACCGATCAACACTTTCTCGTTAATCTTTTTTCATTAATTGGTATTAATGGTATAACTATTTTAACATGTTTTGTTATGGCATTGATTAGCGCTCGTGGATCAATCCTGGAACCACATAAACGACATCATATAACGAAAATCATCTACATACGTTTGCCACTGTTTATATGTGAAATTGCTATTACTGGTGCATCAACGGTCTTCGCTTACAGTGAGCCTAATGAAATTTGACAAACATGTTCAACAGTGATTCGTGTTTGATAGCTTTCTTTTAGTCTTATTAGCTTTTTTTTCCTGGGATTTTTTGAACTGTCGAAGTAGATTTTAGGATTATATTTCAGTTGTCTGTGTCCTTTTTTTTATCTTGCTAGACAAAAGAGGTAGAATTAAATTAAACGAAACGGAAAGAAAGGAAAGAATGTAAAAAGAGATAGAAAACAAGTGAAATAAATTGCTAATTTATGTGGCTGCCGAGGTAAGTTAAATTGTTCAGTGATTGACATTTTAGTGATTATTTTTTCAACTTCAAAGAGAAAAGTTATGATCAAATAATTATTTTCTTATTTCAGGAAGTCCAAGTTCATGTAGGCTTGTTATTATACTGCGTTTAGCAGTTCTGCTTCAGTGGACTCTGATAGTAACAGTTTTAGTTGGTATTGCTGTTGTATTTAATCCGTCTGGTAACAATCGTATACAGCCAAGTTTTCGGTCTGAAAATCAAGCGTGGATGCTACGTTTCAAATTGGTTAGTTATTGTTTCGCTCCGAATTTTTCCATTTCTTCTTGACTAAGTTTCATAAATTATTTGCAAAATTAAATTAACATCAGAAAATTGTAGTTCTTGTTGAGAAGAAATGAAGCGATGCATGCAGCGTTAAAGGATATTGCTATTCTTACAACATCGTTTTTTGCCGATGTTGATCTGGTTGCATCCGATATTCTGGCTGGTCTTTTATTGGTTGTTCATGCTCCTCATCAACCACCCAGTTCTACTACTTATTTGCCAGAAATTGAAGTAATTTTTTTCTGGATTGTTTAGGCATTTGGTAATATAATAACTTAGGAATGATTTTCCAATTGTATTTGTAGACTTCTTCATCTTCGAAAATTACATTATATCCTGTATCAGTTCAATATAGATACACAAATTTCCCTCTCATCCAAACCACACTTAGTCTGATTTAATCTGCAGACTTTTGAAACGCATTCATATGGCAATATGATAATTATTACCATGTAAGATGCTGCTCACGTCCTATTAATTAATAATTATCCTATTAATGTATACTTTGATATTAAAATATATTTTTGCAAATCAGCTAAAGTACGATTATTAAATTGAAGTATGGATAAGTTATTCAGCCACTGGATTGGATGACATTGAACAATGCGCGTTATATGGCAAAATATGTAGCAGCTATGTATGGTTGGGAAATTTATATGTTTTACAATTGTGGTTGTTGCGATTGGCTAAAAGTATGCAAGAAGATTAGATGTTGCTGGAAATGTTACAACAGGTCTAATTTTACGAGACTCGAAGATTTAAACATTTTTTTCTTCGCCTTTCTCACGTGTGATCGTAATGACATAGATTAGAATTTGTGTATCAGTTACTCAGTACTTTAAGGAGTCAGGATGTGACGGACAGAAAAAAGGCAAAAAAAATCTATCCGTTACGCTTTATTCCTTGAACTAACTCTAATGAGTAAGACAGAACAAATTTGCATTCCGAGTTTACAAAATTTAAAACCCTGCCCTAATAAGCCTCAGTTAATATTTCGTAAAGCATCGGCCATTTTTGACGATTACTCTTGGATTTCTAATAAGGTGATTTAGCAAGGTAATGCTAGGATAGTGTAATGTTCAGAATAAGAAAGTAGATAATACTACTGGGAAAAAAAATTTTAAGATTATTTTACAGGCAGAGTTTTCCGATTAAAGGTGACAATTGCTGTGGATGTGCTACGGCTACCTTCCTGGCAGTAACAGAATGCAAAGAAGCTGATATAATCTTCGTTTCATTTGCGAATGAACTCTATCAGGTAATATTAATAATATTAATCTGCAGAGTGTCCTTTAAATGCACCAGATTTTTCTCAGAAAAAAGATTGTCTTCATATTATTATGCCAAATGTTTTGTTAAATTTATTATGTATAGATCCTTTAGGTCCCATTTATCGTACTTGTGGATGCAAAAACAAAAAGTATTATAATAACAATACGTGGTACAGCTTCAATGATGGATGCGATCAATGATTTATCGCTTGATGATGAAGCATTTTCGATAGATGTAGATCAGGACCCGATTCTTTCACGAGATGAAAAGTTGGATACCCCTGATAAGGTGTGAAGTGGGAAAAAAATAATAGTTCATATAAAATTTAAATTTTAATTCTTGATTTCGTTTTTCTGTCTTTGGTAAGTAAAGGAGTATATTATATTATAATTTTCATTAAAATTTCTCAGGAAGTACGCGTGCATCGTGGCATGTTGCGTAGTGCAAGATACGTGCTTGAAGTGTTACGTGCGAACCGTATTTTGGAAGGTTTAAAAATGAGATATCCCGATTTTACACTCGTTTGTTGTGGACACTCATTAGGTGCAGGAGTTGCAACATTACTTACGTTGCTTCTTAAGTAGGTATTACACTCTATGTTGAAATATTATTCGTTACATATCTAAAAGAATGTGCGGAAATATGAAAATTAATTTTTTTTTTCAAAAAGTGTCATGTTTTAGGCAGTCTTTCATTCCCATACAGTGTTTTGCATATTCTCCGCCAGGGTGTGTGATCAGTGAAAATGGTCTGAAAGAAACACAAAAATTTGTATTTAGTATTTACATTGGTGATGATATTGTCCCACGGTTATCATTCCAGGTAATATTTTTGATTCCATTTTTTATCCAAAAAATAGCTGTAAAATAAAAATAAAGCAGAAAATATAATATTTTAGAATTGATAACTGCTTATCTCATATGAAGAACTGTAAATCACGCTTCCATATACTTTGTTATCAGTTGTGTTTTTTCCACATCTTTCACATTCATAAAATTGAAAGCAATACTAAAATTCATGAAATTGAAAACAAGAAAGAAATAATCATGTGATATATTATAGTATTGTGTTACTTATAAAATAAAGCTGATATCAGTGACAAACAAGTAATTTTAATTTGTTTATGATAACAGGATCTTGTTCTATATCATGTGATTACTATCATTCAAACTCTAGTATTTATCATTATTCCAAACGATTAAGAACATTATAGAAGTTATTTTTGATTTAAATAATAATCTATAATCAGAGGATTTGTTTCTTTAAAAAAATTTCCTTCTCATCATAATTTTTTAAATTTTTAGACATTATGTAAATTAAAATATGATGTGATCATGTCGTTGGCATGCAGTAATTTACCGAAATATAAAGTTCTGTTACGTGGCTTTTATCGATTATGCTTTTCTCATCCGTGGCAATCAAATCAGGATGGTTTGTTTCTTTATTCAAGTTTGAATGAATATAACTTTTCGGAATTTTTTGATGTGGTCAAAATAATAATATAAGCTGTGAATTTCAGCATCTAAAATCGGGTCTTATATTTTATGATTTTTTTCCGCAATCTTTAGTAATTTGGGAAATGAGCAGTTAGTTGTAATCTAATGGGGATGATCGGGATTTATAACTAGTTTTTTATTCTTTTTATTTGCTTTATCTGTCCATCTATTTATTAATTTTTCAGCATATGTTCTTTTTGATAACACTGATTATTTAATAATGTTTAATATATATGGTAGAACGTAATGGGAACAGTATTAATAGCATAATTTGGTCTTTTTTTGTGTAATATTTTTATAAACTCATTTAAAATCATTATTTTTTATTTTAGTTGATCATGAAGATGAGGTAGCTATAAATATTAACGATCGACTGCCATTGGTTTTTCACAGTTCGCTATTGGTTATTGATGATGGTGTTGATGGTGCGGAGGAAAACAATCTCGCAGAAAGATGGGCAAAAAAGCGGACAAAGGTATGAATGTTCGTAGGAAGTGATGTATTGTTCTTCTTTGGCATTATTTTCGAAATATAAATATACAGAGCAAAATTTTCCATAGATATAAGTCAGATTATCGCTTCAAGCTGTTTTTAATAAATAATTGGTAAATTTGTGTCTTTTAATTGTAAACTTTTCTGAGCTTAAAATTTGAGTTCAAGTTAAGTATTATTGCAGCTTCTTCCGCCAGGATGTCTGCTTCATGTTTGGATGATTGATAAGGAAAAGAAAATAATTTGTAAAAGATGGACCCATTATAGGTATTTATCTTTCTTTTTTTTTGAAAATGGCAACTGCAAAGTACATAATTTTTTCATTTATGGAAGAAATTTAATTGCAAAAAATTTGTTAAATTTTGTTCCAAATAAGTTGAAAAAAGTATCTGGATCATTTGTTTGCATTTCTAATCAGCTCTACTTCAGCTCGCTGAATGAGATCAAACTGTCAAGTGCTGTTATTAGTGACCATATGCCATATAATGTGTTAAAAGTGCTTAACATGGAGCTTAATTTAGATGCGTAATATTTTTAAAAGATTTTATTAACTGCTTGTTTATTTTATTCAAGATAATGATATTTATTAGATTCATTTCTACTGCACTTTTTCTTATGATCACTTTTATTAAATTGTAATCTCTGAAATGAATATGATTTCAGGCATTCATTGTATAAATTTTATTGATTCGTTGGTGAAAAAGTCTGAAAGGATTTTTTAAAAAATTTAGGATTTTAAAACAATTATTCTAAAATTAAGATTTCTGAAATTTTGTGCCATAGTCACGTTTAAGCAGAAATATTTCTGTGTCCGATTTTGCGAACAGTCGTACTATACCTGTTATTTTTAAAAATAAGGTGAAATGTATAAAGGTCTCCTCTTTTGTTGTGCTTTATTTTACAAACGTTGTTACTCGTGATCCAAATTTGAGCTTTTTGTAAATATTTCAATCAGTTGATTTTTGATAGCAAAAGGCAAATAATTTTGCATGTTCCCCTATCGTCATTCCATTACCGATGAACATATTCGAAATATATACACATTGCATAGTAATGTCGAAATGTTGTTTCTCTTCCGAAACATAGTTATTGTGTCGGTGATGTGAAGCCGATATTTTTTGTTTTATTTTCAAATTTTAAACCTTTCCGTGGTACTCCTCCAGTTTCTTTGTTCTTGTGAAATCAGTTATATTTTCATTTTTTTTAACTTTTATTCCTTACTATTTGTTTCCTTCAATAATAGGTATCGGTGCAATAAACAGTTTCAAATGTGAAGAAGTCGATTTGTACTTTAATTTGTATCATGATATGTTCTCTCAGGCACATGTGTTAATATAAGCATCATTTCCTTGTAGTATTTACATGATTTATCATATTTGTTGGTGCAAGCATAATGTTTAAGGAATGAAATCGACATGTATATCTCAATCAGTTTTGATATTCCTAATTAAAATAATTCCAAAAGTCGACTTTTGACGCAAATATGTCCAACTGAGTGTAGCACCAGTTAGTCCATATTTTGAATCACAAGGTAACTTTTAGAACCAACTACAAAATATTTATCTGCTTTTCTTGGTTTCACCGTATGTCTCTTCGCTCTATTTTCCCATACAGTATCGAGGAAAGTAATATTACATGAATATTTTGTGTATAATCCTTCTTTTTACTTTAGAATTAAAAAAATTTTTTTAAAATATTGAATAATGCACATGACAGAATAGAAATATCAATGTTCTCAGTCTTATTCTAATTGTGCTTAATTATTCTTAATTACTCTAATTATCCTCAATCTCACTATTTAGGAGTGAATTCTTGCAATAACTTTTCAGTGCACCTTCTGTAACAGTTCTGTATTCAGTCTCAAAATGCAAAAGAATCGCGGTAGCAATTCTTACTGATTAAGGTAGTGAGAAATTATGTGTAAGTTCTATGAATCAGTTCCCATTTGTCATTTTGATATCAAGAAAAAAAAAAGTTTCTTTTTAATAATTAGAAAATGCAACAGGCAATTCTAATGAGAATTAGATGAACACATTTTAATTAATATCATTTACAAAATTAGCACAGTGGAAATCATCATTGCGCTTTCCATTGTTCATTGTTTAAAAAGCTTATAATATGTAGACATATTATGAGCTTTTTATTTGATATTTAACGCAACGAATGATATCTCTTCAATTATTTGTGATAAATTTTCAAAGTAACCAGTGTTTTTATTTAAAATTTAATGCTTTGATGAGGAACTTTACATTATACCTCTTTCTTCTTCAGTAATCTTTGCCTTTATATAAATATTACACAAATATGCTTTGTATAATTTATTTTGTGTGTATTTTGTGTAATATATTCCATGAACAAATATCAAAGCTATTTTATCATTGATCATTGAAATAATTCATCATTGATGATTCCTTTTATTTTTTGGCTATTTAAAAGTATAAGGAAACAGCTACTATTAGTAAGGAGCTACATTAAGTTAAAATTGAAATTAGATTTTAAAAAAATTAAAAATTAATGTCGGGATAGGATATTTGACATGATAATAAGTCATATTCATTGATAAAGTTAATTGATAATTTAGGTTTCGCTATATGATACATTTTCACTAATGAATGCATAAATTTTCAACAATATTTTATTAGCACAAATTATTATCATGATATTCGTTTCTCAGTTTCTATTTAAATATTAGATTAATGAAATTAGACAAAAAGTTGGTGAGTATTTAAATAATTTTATGACAAGCATGATTATATGCTTATTTGTTTGCAAATGTAATTTTTATGTTTTATTGAAGTTTTCAAATAGAATAAGTGTTGTTTGAAATGACAATTCAAGTTTGCATATATTTATATTCTCGGTCTTTGCTTAACTTTTCTTGCAGTTTATCAATTTCATTTTTATTTTGGTGAAACTTTTGCAGTTTCGTAGCTCAAAAAATATGGAGATGAATATAAATTTATTTCCGCTATAGTATCTCATGCTTATGCTTCGGTATATAGACCGTACGTTTTTGTTTTTTCTCGATTAAACATTGACCTTGAGCATAGGTATTTGTCAATGTTCTTCAAAGGAGTGGATATTGCTATTGGCGATGTTGTATTCTTCAAAAAAGAAAATAAAAGAAAGGGTAACGATCAGTTTGAAGAAGCAGTTGCCGATGTTGCACCTGAAGCTGTAATACATGTAGCATTGCTATGCGAGGACACAGGTCAATGGGTGATACATGCGACCCAAGAATCTGGCGTATGCCAAGAACTTCTAATGAATGTACTAGAAAAGCTATCTCCCGAGAGTTTCGAGGTGTATAGAGCTCAAGTACCAGAAACAGTTCGTATAAATGTATGTCAGTGGGCAAAATCTAAAGTTGGTGCTAATTATAACGATATTTTCTCGTCTAATATGCGCAATTCTAAGGGTAATGAAGCATTCTACTGTTGTCAGTTGGTAGTGAAATCATATGAAGCTGCTGGCATTTATGATTTCTGTCCATCACATCAATTAAATTTCAAAAATTCAAATGGAAAAGTTTTACCTTTTTGGGAGGAATATTATCGTATGCGATCATTACCGGTACCACAGGATATGCCTGGTTCGCATCCTGCTAAATTAATCCATTCTAAATATTTAAAACTTCATTTCGCCAGATTTTGCATGCCATCAGTGAAGTTCACCGTTCCCAAGACTATCGATGATGCATTACATTTCATACGTGGAGCTCGTGTGGCACTTACAGCAACCAAATATTTTGATGTATATCAACCAAGAAATGGTTAGTAATTTTGTTGAGATTTATTTTCAATTGAAATTTTTGATTTGTAATTAAACCTAATTGATATTTCCGTAATAACAATAAACTTTATGGATCGTTTTATTTACTTTTGTTGCGACAATTGCGGCAATTACGATTTCACGTAATATTTTACAAAAACTTAATTACTAAAACATCTTATTTTTCTCCAAAAATAATTTTGACTTCTGTTCTTAAAGGAATTTAATAATTTTAATATAATTGTAGAAATATAAATACTCCAAATTTCACTACAAAAAGATCAGAGAAGATGAGGATTGTGACGAGACGTAATATTTATTTTTTTATGAAAAGTAATTCATGATATTACCAGGTGAAATATTAGCACGATGCAGCTGTGCCAGTGCTGAAGTGATTGATGAAGTGGTTAAGGATGCCTCTAAAGCGCAGCAATCCTGGGCAGCATTAAATGTTCAGCAACGTGGAGCAGTTCTACGCCAAGCAGCTTCTATCATACGCGTATGTTTGCTTTTTTTTAATATCAGTTTATCCAAGATGTTACTAAATTCTTTCCAAATCATATGTATAATACGGAAGTACGAGTAAAATATGAGCACTATTATGTCTTTTTGCGTTGGCTTCGACTTGTCATCTTCATATATTTGACTAACCATCTTGGCCTCAAATTTCAGTTTAATGTTTTTACTTGCCTGGCTATTTTATCATAGTCTCTTAAATCTGTTACTTAAATTTTTTACAAATATCCATGAATTTTCACACTTTCAACACTTTAGAATGTTGAAGACCAATTAGCATATTTGGAAACAGTTGATTGCGGTAAACCAATTGAAGAATCACGATGGGATATGGCTAATTCTGCGGATACTTTTGAATTCTTCGGCGGTGCTTTGCATAATATTGCTGGTAAAAATTTTTAGTTCCTTGAAATTTTTTATTCATTAAACTTGAATTATTTAAAAATTTCCCAAATTATTTAATAAAAATGGGTCATTTCAGTTTTTTTATATGTTGGTTGAAACGAACTTTTTTAATTTTTTCAAATATTGTGAATGACCTAATTGTTGTGATACTTTTATCTTCTTATTGCTAATGTATACCTTATTGTAGGCAATCACTTCCCATTAAGTAATGATAATTACGCGTATACAGAACGTGTGCCATGGGGCATTGTTGGTGCAATTGGTGTTTGGAATTATCCGATGCAAACTGCATCATGGAAAATTGCACCAGCATTAATGTGTGGTAATGCTGTGATCTATAAGCCATCACCTTTTGCACCCGTAACTTCTGTACTACTGGCTCAAATCCTTCAAGCTGCTGGTCTTCCTGATGGTGTACTATCCATTTTACAGGTTTATTTTTGTTCATTTTGAAAAAGATTGACAAGTTAATAGTGCGTAGCAAATAAAATTACGAATTTTTTTTCATTTTTTAAAGCACTTCCATATGAATTTTTTCCAAGTTTCGTTTATTTATACTGTTGCTTAAATTGTACTCTAAATTGAAATTTTTTATTGACTCCATGAAAATTATATAGTTTATTTATCAATTTGCCGAACAGCGAGATACTTATAATAATGAAATTAGGCTTTGATATGGTGTTATATATTCAATAAAATATATACATTTATTATAATTAGTTATCTTCTATTTACTAATTGTGCACTGAAGATATCATTTCACACATGTTGTATTGCTGTAATTTCACATCACAAATATGAAGTGCAACACATTTGCAAAATCATTCAAAAAATGAAATTTTATAACTGGTTTTTAATCTAATATCTCAACGACAGTTCCATTAATGATTTCAGTGACTGTTAGGATTAAGCCAAAGCATTTCAGGGTGAAGATGAAACAGGACAGGCGATTTGCGAACATAAAAGCATTAATAAGATCTCATTTACCGGTAGCACCTCAACTGGATCTAAAATCCTAACATCATGTAGTTTGTTGGGTCGAATAAAACCAGTAACATTGGAATTGGGTGGAAAAAGTGCGATGATCGTTTGTGAAGATGCTGATATCGATGTCGCTGTCACGGGCGCCTTCATGGCCAATTTTTTTACGTTAGTTTGGTCATAAGTGCATTTCATTTCAACATATTCCTTGTAAAAGAACTGTTACAAATTTTATTTGAATATTTGAATAGAAAAAAAGATGAATAAGGATTTATTTGTTCAATTATCTGCAAACAAGAAAATTGCTGACAAACATTTGCAGTCAAGGTGAGGTATGTTCAAATGCATCAAAAATCCTCGTGCATATGTCATGTTACAATGAATTTCGACAAAAAGTTGTGAAACAAACGAAAAATTTGGTGATCGGTGATCCGTTATTGAAGGAGACAAAAATAGGTGCAACAATCTCCCGTGAACATTTGAACAAAGTCAAAGCTTATATTAATGAAGCTGTGCAGCAGGTTATCTTATTTGTTTCACCTCAATTTCTTGAGGAAAAAAAACTTATATAAGAAAAAAATGAACGTTAATAGTAAGAGATTCTGTTAATATGGTTTGGTCGAAGTTGGGTAGGGACATTGGCGCGACTCAATTTTTCTTTCTTTCATTGTTTTTTTCGTAATTTGAACATTCGTTCTATCACTAGTTTTAGTTTCATTTTGCATTTTGAAGGGTGCCAAGTTATTATGTGGCGGTGACGAGGTAAAAGTTAAAGGTCTCGAAGATGGCTATTATTTATCGCCTGCTGTTTTGGATTCCATAACCGAGCAAATGAGAATTTATAAAGAAGAAGTCTTTGGAGCTGCTATGTTAATCATTCCATTTTGGAACAATGAGGTAAACTTGTAATATGTGAAATTTTTCTGGTTTCGACGTCATTAAGAATCAATGTTTGTGCCTTGAAAATACTGAAGCTCGACAGATAGGACAAAACAAAGAATTTTGCGAAAATTGAAATTTCAGGATGCTATCCATATGGCAAATGATACGCCTTACGGGCTCGCCGCTGGTGTTTTTACAAGGTTTGTTTTATTGGATTGTTAAACTCAGCCTCAAATTTACATTGATTTGTTGGCAACAAATCTATTTTTTCTAGGAATTTACATCTGGCATATTCAATGGCTTCAAAACTTCATGCGGGCAACATTTATGTAAATACATTCAATATTACAAGTAAGTTTGTTGAAAAATACAGGATTTGAGTATGAGTTAAAATCAGCTAAAACTTGATTTAAATGGTTTGATCTGATCATCTGCAGTTTGCTTGGAGCTGTATCTACACAGGTATTTCCTAATAGGATGGTTCTGTTGCTTATTTTAAAAGCTAATGGTAGGATGGTTCTCTCGATTTTTTTAAGACCCAATGATACCTTTTGGTGGTATGAAACAATCAGGTTTTGGACGTGAAAATGGTATCGCGGCTCTGGAAGCTTTTTCACAAGTGAAAAGCGTATTTGTCAACGCATCGGAGAAGTTGGATAATCCATTCCTGTAGTTGGAAATAATGTAAATAAATCAGGTTTTCTCTATTTGAAAAAAGCTAAGATGACTAAGTCAAAGAAGTCCTTGGAGCTGCCATATTATGTATTTCCTCCATTTATATATTCCACAGAATTCAGCCAATAAGTGCTCGAGATTATAATACTGACAGCATGTGAAGGATATTTTTATATATTTTCAAATAAATTCCATAACTAAACTTTGCCAATAATGTCCAGTTAGAATAGTGAGCTTCTTTGTTTTTTCTGTGGAGTTAGGATGAGCACTATACGATATGCAGTTATTTTATAAAGAAAT